TAAACGTGGAGAAGATAGTGGTGATGAATATAACTAACCAGAAACAACAAGCATCAGCTATCATCAAGTGGAAAAATCTGAAGAAAGTCACTTCCATCACTTTTCTAGGCAGCATTGTCTCAACCACAGGAGGTACGGAGGAGGACATCAAGAGCTACCGTACTGAAACACTAATGTTAACTCAGTTCTTCTACATGTTTCAAAGACGGCGCGTCACAGAAAGCATCTCTGACAGGTAGCTTCAGACTTTAGTCAACAGGTGCCTTCATTAGTTCCCTACTGAAGATCAGATGGCTGGCCAGAAAGAAGTAGCAACAAGTAAATCTGGCAGTGAACCAGCTAAGAATTCAGTGCTCAACAAATACGACGTAGGAAACGGAGATGAATCAGACATACTCTGAGGAAATTATTGAGTGAATGCCACAGGACACCAAATCGTCAGCTGGAAGCCGAATAGGAAATGGCATGTTGGACGCCTGAGAGTGACATAGAGGAGGCCGTGAAGTCAACCAGAGAACCCTGCAGAGGGCTCAATGACAATTTTATCTGTTTTTGAAGCCCTATGTTCCACTTAGAATTGTTACATACTGCTATTCATCCCTTACCTTCTGAGCCTAAAAGTTCGATTCCAGTCCGTTCTCAGACTTTATTTTCACCTGGCTCTAGGACTACTCATAAGCTTTCACCTTCTCTTCACATGATGTGCTTCCTTTCACTCTTTGCCTGCTAACTACCTATCTCTTTCAATCCATGTTCCAATGATGGAATTGTCGTGTGACGTTACTTGAATATCTTCTCAGTATCTACCCAGTGCATTTCCATTTCCTGCTGCATATTGATCGAATAAGATATTTTCAGCCGGTTCGCTGCTTAACACACTTCTTTGCTTCTTGGTTATTTATCCTTTCCATCTAGCTATTTAATCTTCAGTATCAAGCAAAGGCAGTTGTTGACAAGAGCCTGCAATCAGTTGGAAATGATCTCAGTGACACCCATCCCAAATCTCTCAGGCATATAGAAACATTAACCACACATCAGTGTTAAAAGTTCTGATCTTATTCTTTGTGCTATTTACTATAAATTTGCCCACCGACTTCAGAGTGATGAGATCCTGTCTTGCTTTCTCATCCAATTCCTATCCGGCTTTGTCATTCTCATCCGTATAGTCTGTGGTTGAAGTGATACTGTGGTGGGATCTGAAAGAGGTGATTTCCACCAGATTGCTCCTATTGACGGTAACTGCTGCTTCTTGTTGTTGTTCGATGGGTATTTTCATCACCCCTCTCCTCTCTCTATGTTCACATGAAATCCAGTCTTCACTGTTTCTCCTGCCAACTTTTTGATTTTCGTTTGTATATTTTCGGTTGTATGTGACTTGAGACACTACTAGAGGTAAACAACCTGTACAAAATGTGAATAGTGATAAAACAAATCGTACGCAAAATGCCAATCTTCTAGGGTCTTTTCATGGGTCAAAAACATATCCATCTTTCTACTCCCTACATGGCACCATATTATACAGCCTACAGCAATCAAGAGTATCATCCTTGATATTAGGCTGCCTTATGTCACCCCTATTCTCCCCTCTTGAAATGACTTGTTGACTTGTTCGTTGTCTAGCTTTGGCATGTGGCATCATTATCTGTTGAGTGAGGTTTATATATGTCTGCACCACTCCATACTGTTGAAGACATTTTTCAATTTTCTTCATAGCCAACGCTGTCGAGGGTTTCTTCATAGCTGACGCAGTTGAGATACTGAGTTGACTTCCAATTCAAAGTTGTGTTTGTTGACGATGAGAAGTGTTGCAATCTGATCCTCACATGACTTGTTTTCCATGAATCCAGAGTGTTTCGGACAAAGTCTACCGTACAAAGCATCTTTCAGTCTTTCTAGAATGATGCGGTTTAGTATTTTGCTTGGATTAACTGGGAGCATGATGTTGCAAGTAAAGGAATATAGTTTAGTAAACACCGTAATGCACAGGGATGTCGATGTTTATCTAGTAACAGCGAAATCCATGGACAACAGTAAATATCTATAAACAGATTAATGCATAGAAAGACAAAACCGTGCCAAGTTTACTGACTTGCTAGTTTTCTAACCGGTTCCAAACACGAGTAAAAAGAGTGTTGGGAGTGGGGCTAGCGACCCTACCTACAAAGCCAATCGAACTGGTACAGAAACTTTAACGCACAATGAAAATATTAAAAATACAAATAAAATAAGAAAAACAAACTTATTCTTCGCCGCGATTGGAAAGGTGAAATGACACAGGCTGGTGAAAGCTTTCGGGAAGCCAGTCAGTCAGTATGTCTTCTCTCGACGAAAGCACAAGTAAGAATAAGGACGTGGATTTTGCAGATGATTTATGTTTAATGTTACACAAACTTGAAGACTTGCAGGCGAAAACCAACAAACTGGCTGAAGGAGCAGCAAAGACAGGACTTCAAGTAAATATAAAGAAAACGGAAGTGATGAAGATAACCAAATAACAACAACCAGCACCAATCACCATCAGCGGGAGTGATTTGAAAGAGGTTACCTCCTTCACTTATCTAGGAAGCACCGTTCCAAGCATAGGTCGACGGGATAGAAGAACATGTCAAAGCCAGGCGGAATCAGAAAGGCAAGATATGCCTTCATCAACTTGAAACCACTTTGGAAATCTTCTGCACTTAGGCAGCATAATGAACAACATTCAGATTCTGTTCAACGCAAATATGAAGTCAGTCAGCGCTTCTTCTATACGAGCCAGAAGCTTGAACTATTGTTGCGGAAAGTATTTCCAACAAGCTGAAAACTTTCATGAACAGCTGCATTCACTGGTTTCATACTGCAGATTAAATGGCTAGCCAGAAAGAATTAGCAACAAGAAACTCTGGTTAGGAGCAAACCAATCAAGAGCCAATTGTTCAACAAATGTGTAGGGCGAAATGGAGATGGATTGGGCATACATTGAGGAGGCCGTCGAATGACATAGCGCAACAAGCCATCTGTCGAGTGGAAGCCGAATGGAAGACGATGAATGGGTCTTCAGTGCGAGGATGACATGGAAGACATCGTCCGAGGAGGAGGTGAGAGATTATGGGCCCAGCTGAGAATAGAAGAAAGTGGAGATGTGTTGTTGAAGCCCTATGTTTCACTCGGAACCCAGGGGAAAAATAATAATAATAATAAATAATAATAGAAAGACAACCAGTTAAGAACTGATCTTTGTTTAAATCATTTTGAATCTCATGTTGAATGATTTTAATTAATTAATAATACCTTTTTTCCAAACTGTACTTTTGATACACATGTGGAATTTTCAGCACGTCATACAATATTGTATCCATTTGCCTGACTACACAATACAGGGGTAATAATTGTACAGAGTGTTTACTTCGGTGATAATTTCACTAGGAATATTAATGAAAGAAGGAATAAAGAGGGTTGTTTTAGCTTAATATTCCTCAGTAAGTTGGTAGTGTCATGCCTTACACTTTTCTCATCCCATGTAATGCATGCAAAATAAGATATCGTAGAGTTTTTATACTTAGTCACCAGAGCATAAAATCTCTAATATTTGCTTTCAGTCCTGCCTGATTAGATGAGAAGAGAGAGTTGTGTATAGAGAGGGTGCTCAGAGTTCGACAAGGTCAATTTCTTCCATGAGTCCATGTGTCTCTCTACAACAGTATTACCAAGTTGATTTTTTAGCGACATCACACTCACCCTACTGACAGCTTTCATCGCCTTTCGAAGTGCAATGAGGTCTTCCTTAATTAGCCCAGGAAAGATTAAGCGGCAGCGAGCATTAGCGAAGGATAGACAGAATACAAGAATTAAAAAAATTTACGAAGTAGGGATTGTGTGATACCAGGTTATCATAACCTCATCGTGGAGAAGATTAAACGGAATATCTATGTAGAAACTAACACGATTTGAGAAGACCAAGAGAGATCTGATGGAAAAAATAATTCAAGGTATTTAACATCAGACTTAATTTCAATTTCTGTGCCATTTATGAAAGAAGAATCAAGCGAACGAACCACTTCATTTAAGTTTTGCTTGTTTTCAAAAGTGAAGTTAACAACCTGACATTGACCGAAATACACGTCCACTGTTGACGTGTCTTCTCCAAGTATGGAGGAAGTTCAGCAGCCTAGTGAATAACATCCTGACTTTTGAAACGATAGGAGCACCATCATTCACTTGGTGTGCTGGTAGATCTGAAATGGGACAAAATATGGATCGGGGATTCCACTTCAGGCCACCATCAACCGAAAGAATTCCAATTCAAAGAGGAAAGTATACCGCTACCCTTACAAAGTAGTGAATAAAAGACGAGAACTGCAAGAGAAATGCAGTCACACAGAAGAAGTCAAAAAGCAATTTACTCAAAATGAAATTATTATTATTTCCACTCGTCTGATTACTCGAAAAAACTTCTTCTCTAAACAAAAAAAGTAACAAACATGTCAATTCTACTTAACAATAAATTAAGTAGTATTGAATTGAATTACAAGTTGTTTAAATTAGCAACTGCCTTTTGCGTTACTCTGTTTTTTCTCCAAACCACTTAAATATAAGTGGTAAGCAATTTTCTTCTTATATTCCGCTCAGTGCGATGCACCATTTTCATCACGAAGTACTTCCAATTGCGCAATCATACATACTTTTTCAAGTTTTACATTACATAGATTAATTAATGGTTAACCACTTAGGAATTGTGCGTCTTCGTAGGCAATTAATAAACTTCTCACCCCTGTTTAGTTCTTTAGAATACACAAACAGTTTTGCAAGAAACAAACAAAAGTTGTGGGTTTTCTTTTTCAACTCTAGCGCAATTTCTTTTTCAATGTTTCAATAGTATGTAATTGACTGTAAACAAATGGTAGATGATACTTATGTGGATTGTTTTTTGTCTGGAAAAGAGAATGTGTAACATAACAGGTGAATGAGCCTATTTACTAAGTAATATAAGACTGAATTTAACTTATACAAATAAGTGTTGCTTAATGTCTGAGCAAACACTCAATTCCGCTTGTTTGTTTGTTTGTTTTCCTGGTTGGTTTTAAATTTTTGAAAAAATACGCATCACTTTTAAAGGGTATAAAAATATATAAAAATACATTTAGTGTAGTGTGAGCTGGTGTTATCATTTCAGAGAAATGAAATTTCCAAGTGTTGCCTGTTTCTTCTTCCTTACTGTTGCCCTACTCCAGTCATGTCTAAGCAGGCGATTGATTGGCGGTAAACGACCTGTTGACAATGTGAACAGTGATAACATGAAGAAGGCTGTTGAAAGTGCTGTGTACGCTTACAATCAAAAAGTAAATAGTAAACAATGGTTTACTGATATTGAGGTGAAAGATGCTAAGACTCAGGTAAATCTAATATTTAGTGTCTATATATTTATATATCTTCAAAACCTGATACTCATTATAGACAGTTTCTGGTAAACAATATCACTTCAAACTACATCTTAAACCTAGTCCATGTGACAAGAAGGAAACACTGGGACTGATGAAAAATGGAAACAAAGTTCATTGTATAGGAAATCCGGATGTTGTAAGTTAAAAATCATTTTTCAAATACGAGTATTTATTACTTCAGTAATTATAAATTTGATTGCATCGAAAGATGTCGGTAACAGGACTGATCATGTGCTAATGGAGGGTTCCAAATTAGGACGAAACAACTTTACAGTAATCCCTGTTGGTTTTCTAATGGTTCTCTAACTGATGTCAGGATATGATAAATCCTGTAGCCAATCGAATTCCCACAAACCAACACCTGATATTTTTAAAAATATTATCATTAAGTTAGAGTTTTACCATTATCACCCAAATTCTAATAAGGATATTAGTTATTATAATTGAATCAAATCTCGTCGGTGGCACAGCGGTAGAATGCTTGCCGACCACGCCTCATTCGGTCCAGGGCTCAATCCCCGGCCACCGATGTACTCTCGAACCTCGATGAGCCAGTAATAAGACTGATAAAAAGGGAAGGCTAGGCATGAGGCTAGCAACCCCATCCAGTTGAAAAAAATGAACACCACTGCTACAGAAAATTCAAGCCTCTAGCTTGAATCCCTATATTCCACTGGGAACGTAAAGGTATATATATATATATATATATATACATGCAACTTAGGCACTCTGGTAGTAAATAATCCCAGAAGTGTGCGAATGAGAATAATAACTAAAACGATAGTAGTAATGATAACAGTAGGTTTGTTTCAGACAGTATTTGCGATACACTATGAAAGTTGTAGTATGTTTTAGAACATTGAATATAATGTTATTTTGACATAGTTTGATGAAAGGAAAATCAAAAAAATAATAGTAATTATTACATGGCTTAAGTGGTGTTTACAATTGCGAAAAAAAACAAAAAAAGAGGCTTAACTAAAGCCCCAGACGGCGTAGATGATTTCTTTATCTCCCTCTCTCCCTCTCTTTCCCCTTCAGCGTTTTTAACATGTTTATATTTGACAATATTATTCTTAGAAGTGGTGATTTTTTTCAGTAACATTCACTAGTGAACATACATCAGTGCATCAGAATACTATACTCTTATGTTCAAATGATCAGTCCGCCTACTTCTGCGTCTGTGACTGTGACCAGAACCACATAGTATTTGACCACGAAGAAAACGTCAGCGTACTGTTGAAGAGCCCCACACTAGGACGAAACAGCTGTTCAGTGGTTCCAATGTTTCTCTAACTGATATCAGCTCATGATCAAATCCTGCAACCAATCAAACAAAGTCCCTACAAAACCAGTACTTCAAAATCATTAATGATAGTTTAGTTGAAGTGGTCTTTGACAATTTCTTCTAAATGAAGTACGATTTCATAGCCTCTTAAGAATTATCTCACTAAAAAGATACAAGATCAGTGAAATTTTAATATTCAGATAAAATATCACTTTACAGATGGCACTAACTCTAAAGTTCTAGATAAAATATTACTATCGACAATCAATGACGTTATCTGATTTAATCACAAGGTATAATTTAATACGTATTCTTGCATGGATAAATGTCTGCATTTACTGATAAGTCGAATTGCACTTAAACAACCTTTGCAGTCTATCAGTGTTTAAGAATTTCTGAATTGAACAATTCAATAATCTAAGGTACAACTGTTTCTATAATAGATAATTCAAGTGTGACACTAACTTTCACTTTCATTTAAGGTTATGACGCTTGTTTGTGTTGATGAGGGTAAAATTCAAGTCGTGTGGTATTTCCGCATAACCGAATTGTAATGCTTAATTTTTAAATGACCTAAGAGACGAGAACCCTCAGTTGACTGACTCTAGGCGTGTTTACTAACCCACTTGCTGATTGATGTAGAGATGCAGGCATATCGATTGCCTGAAGTGAGTCTTGTCGAATAAGACACGATGGACGCAACACCACCTACCTGGTTATAGAGACTTGGAATTGAAGTCATACGAAGCCTGATATGTGAATATCTTATCAACAATAGTTTTCTGATGTATTCTACAACCTGTTCCTTTTTGAAAAACCTGCCAAAACATTTATTTACAGTTGCTTAGATATATTTGTGTATTGTTAATTGCATACTGATTGATAACGATATTCATTCTTGCAACCACCGATGACTTTTATTTAATTATGATAAATATTATAATTATTGTTATTATCATTTGTTTAAATATGCAGGAAGGTGTAGTATGCGATGCTAAGGTCGTACACCAACCATGGCGCAAAGTTCAGTATAAAGCTTCCCTGTCTAAATGTCATTCAGATAAAGCCCCAAAGAAGACAGGAAAAGAGAGTCAAAAACATGATGGAAAGAAAAAGAATAATAATAACGATAAACATGGAAAGAAACATTAATCACTGAAGAACTGTGCAGCTCATGGAAGATCAAGAGAGAAAAAAAGAATGAGGATGTAATACGTATTTGTGACTGTGGTTTTTTAAACTGTTTACTTAACAATACACATATACTGTTAACTAACAAACTCTTGAATTTTTGTTTTGAGTTATTTGGGGATTCAAGCTATACTACTGTTTGTTTTACTGCTTACTTGGCTTACTTACGCCTTAGGATGAGAGTCTTTAATGACATACTATGAAGGATATGAGTCAGTGAGTGATTCAATGGTAGAAGGCTCGCTAGCCACCCATTGAGGTCCACCTTCGACTCCAAGACGATGTATCCAGGAACCAATACTAGTGGGCTGGCCATGAGTAAGTCGGGAGGGGGGGAAGAGGAAATATCAGGCTTGAGATTAGTGGTCCTACCCTGTGACTAGCTGACCGACTGGTTTCAACGTAGAACTCTGCATAGATATGCAGCAGTTTGAGTTGCCACTCTCCCTCAATGTAGCACACAAAGCAAGTGAAGAAAGTAAAGAGAGATTCAAAAGAGACATAATAAACAAAAATATGAGGCAAAACGAATAGTGATATGGAAGAACAATAGACTTTCACTGGACATAATAAATCACAAGGAGTGAATGTATCTGTGCTACTAAGAACGATTCTCAGTCATATCACCAACTGTCTCCAGCTTCTGGTTTTTACTATCCCGAGGACCTCCACCAACTGAGTATTTTACACCTTCCTACGTGGTGGCTGGCTTAAACTAGTTGTTATGAATTTCATCGACTGATGAGTCTATGTTTTGATTTGATCACCACTAGCTTTCTCCTTTCAAACCTGATCCACCATATGTTAGCTAGTATTGTCCGTCGAGGAAGGCGACGGCTAGGGATGCACGCTTAACACATGCCTTAACCACCTCAGTCGATGTAAATTCACAACCTTATCGGTTGATTTCCCCTCCTTATCTAGAACTTGACACCTAACCTCAATATAACTCACCTTATTCTACCGCTTAATACGGAATATAGAACGCAGGCACCTATCATCAAAGACAGTCAGCCCTGATATGGTTATGAGCAGTAATTCGTTCTCGAAACGCCATTAGTAAATATTAATGCACAACACTGTGTGATTTTATCAAAATAAAATTTTATCCAAAATGGAATTATACTCTTCCACAGCGGCCAAGTTTTATTATAATATGAGTTAGCCTTTTCGTATCTTCCCCGTTCAATAGCTATGTCTCACAGCTAGACATAAAGAATGACGGAGCGAACTGCTTCGCAGCAAACACGCCCTCTGATTTTTTTCCCTTCACATTCCCAGTGGAACATAGGGTTCAAGCTAGAGGCTTGAACTTTCTGTAGAAGTGTTTATTTTACAGGATGGGGTTGCTAGCCTCGTGCCCAACCTTTCCTCTTTACCAGCTTTATTTCTGGCTTAGCGAGGTAAAGTAGTGCGTTGGTCGGGGTTCAAACCCCGGACCATGTGCATGGTTGGCGAGTGTCCTAACCAATGTGCCACCGACGCCCTCTGATTGATAGCTGGATATCACGTCTACTAAGCCAGAGATGGCGTAAGCTGGCAAATGCCAAATGAATCTTCTGTATCCTAGAAGAGATTTCGCCAGCAATCAGCCCGTTGGGACTGATGCAGCTCCTCGAATAAGTGAAGTGGTCAATACTCTCCACCAACCAATTCACTCCTACTTATCTTTAAGCTAGGAGTCTGTCGATGTAATCCAGTCCTCTAGCATCATCTTACATTTCACTGGAACGAAACGTATAATAAGCAGTCGAAGATTGCTGCTCGGCTCAAGGTGTTCAGAAAAGGCTGTCTGCATTTTTTCATCTTCTTCACCTAGGAGGGAGGACTAGATCATGTACATATTCTAAGTCAACAAGATTATTCTCTAGTGGTAACAAGTAAATCTCTGTGTCGGTGAAGTCAGTTATGGTCAATTCCAATAGTACATCTATGATGAAACTGAACGGAAATGGAGATAGTGGGCATCCCTGTCAGACACCACTAGTTGTCATCACACTTGTCAGATGACAGCTCTCCGTAGGCTCCCACCTGGTCGCATGAATTCGTGTAGAATAACTTGATCAGTGCACTGTGTTTTCTCGGAATTCACTTCATAGCCAAACATCGTCATAGTACCTCTAGGTCAACAGAATCGAATGCCGCCTTCAGGTCAAGAAATATAACGATTGTTGGACGCCGGTAATTATGCTTATGTCCCAGAATCTGTCGAAGGGTGAAGAGATGATCAATACACCCCCTTCCTTGTCCAAAGCCTGCCTGGTTCTGTCGTGTTTGTTCCTCCCGAGAATGACTTAGTATTCGCACGATTATTGAACCTCGAACTTTAGATACCATATTGTTCAAGCTTATCCTCCTGTGATTATCACAGAAAGACTTGTCTCCCTTCTTGTATATCGGGATAAACAATGACTTACACCAGCCAAACGAGACTTCGCCTGATTCCCAGACTATGCCTAATACCTTAGTTAACGCAGACAGAAAACTGTCTCCACCGTGCTTAAACACCTCTGAAGTCATTCCATCAGGTGCCGTTGCTATGCTCTGTTTCAGATTAGAGACAGCTTTTTTTAACCTCATTTAGGGACTGTCAACCGGTGATTTTATCCCATTTAGGGAGATTTGGATGCTCGGTAAGTTGAACGTGGTTATAGGTCAGTTTAATTGCTCCTCAAACGTTCCAGTTGTCTATGCTGAGAACAAATTATGATGACATTTTTCGTAGAGATTGTTTCGAGAAAAATCCTGACCTGTAGAAGCGACGATCACTACTGATACTGAAACTCTAAAGCTTGGAAAGCTGTGATCTATTCAAGACACTAAGAGGAGGAAAACCATCTACTACTACTACTACTACTACTAGGGGGTCACTAGCAGTAGACTTCAAGATGCGTGTTCTGCTCCATTTAACACTAGTCGTCTAGATGTACTCGCATAGCCGGTGATTTAAAGTGTTCCCAATGAAACTTAAACCCAGCATTGATCACTTCATACACCGTAGTGTTTTCCGCCAAAATCAGTCCAGAGATTTCAGTGTGAAATTATGAATATTGAATAAATTCTCAAAAGTGTTCATTAGAGTTAATCTGGTTGGTAGTTCACCATAGAAATTAAGATGTATTCATGCCTTGTCTTCATTTAAGCCAAAGGGACATATTTTCATAGTTAAAAGTCGCTCTGAACGAAGAATATTCGTTTTAATAAACTCTATTCTGATTCCTGTAGATATGATACAAAATGTTTTTTTATCATAGCAATGATAGCTGTTTATGTTTCTAGATAAGTTTGTTTGGTAGAATAATATACTACTTATAGGCTGACAAAATAAGTAGTGTATGTGTTGCAGACGCGCTGAGATGAATACAGTTATAAAATATTATGAAATGGAAGGTGGTGATCATGGAAACTAACCATAATAGATTCATACAATGACTAGAAGGAAAACTGATAAGTTATTTCAAGTATTATTAGACGGGCACACTTGTTGATGATGGATGAGAAGGAAAAAGAAAGAAAAAATAACAAACATAACTGAAATTCTCAAGGAAAATAACTACCCAGAAACATTGATTACTCACATCAACGGTGACACTCAGTATGGTTGAAAACATATTCTGGAGACATGGATTTCAACAGTAGTCATTCCATTTAGATAAGAAACGTCAGACGATAGATATGAAAGTTTCCTTCAAAACATCCGAAACACTACAAAGCAACTTGGTAGTGTAAAGGATTGAATTCCAACGGATTCTCAATCCATTTGTGTGTATAAAATAAAATGCCTGGAACGTGAGGTGATATACATCGAACAAACATCGTGAGGAATCAAAATCAGAAGAAATGAACACCGTAGAGCATCTGTTCGACCACCGAGAAATCCAGTTGAACTAGAAAAGCTTGAAAAATCATCAGCCATAGGTCGTCTACACATTATAGAATCAGGTCACAAAATTGATTTCGACAATATTGAAATCATCATCCAGAAACATTACAGAAATCACAAAGAACGTCTAATATCAGAAGCACTTCATATCGAATGGAATCCAAATTGTCTAAATATGAAGGCTGGGCTAAGACAGAACTTGTCCTGGCTTCTATACTCGCCTTTTCATGAACTGACAAAATCAATACAAATGTGATAAGCAATTTCCTCATGTAAACACCTGCTGTTTTTATTATTTCATAAACTTATCAAATCCAACAATCTACACCTGGTTTTGTTATCTTTACTAATTGACCAAGGTGACAGCAACACTGAAATTACCTAATGCTGAAGAATGATGATAAAGTTGCTGTATATAAGCTGAGATTTTGTAAATTCTGGTTTATTAATACCTTGATAAGGCTATTAGCACTATTAATTAGAGAAACATTAGTGAAAAACAGTATCTTTTTTGTTTTTCATTCATTGGTTCCAAGTTAGCAGATTTAATTCTATGCAAACCAGGAAATGGTTCTTTAAACTATATTCTCAGCAAATTCTTATTTTGTTGCCTGTTTGTGGATGATATCTTCATTCGGATAGGAACAGAGTAATGTCTCAGTTTAATGAGGTTCATTCTGCTATGAAATTCACGTTCGAAGAGGAATCCCAAAAGAGAACAAGAAAATCATATGGAAGTATAACGAGAAATTTGCATAGGACAGGCACATGGACAGGACAATAAATACGTTTTCATAGCTTCATTCATCTCCACTACAAAAGAAGTTTAGTAAGGACCCTCAACCACAGCGTTGGAGCTATGTGCTCAGAAGAGGTAACTGAAGATGAGCTTAGAATTGTATATGATTTCCCGATTGAAAATAGCTATTCAGACAAATTCATCAGGAAACATTTGACTGAGAAAGTTGGAAGGGAATAGTTACTATCCTTAAACAATAAGCCTTTACACAAACGACTACAATTCAAGGGTGATATACCTAGCGAAATAATTACGAATAAGTTAAGAAAATCAGTTCAAAGAACTTTTAATGCTGGCGAACTACATGTCTTCTTATCTACACTTCTAATTGTATCTACGAATTCAATTGCGCTTGTGGAGTGAGTTATACTGGCCTTTGCTCCAGGAACTTGATTTTTCGTGCTCT